GGTATTCATCAGCCAAACATAGAGTCCAGATCCAATTATATGTATTCATTAAGTGATAATGATATCATGGTCTTTAACTAGGAAGAAAAGAGTGTAATTGAATAATAACAGTTGTACAATCCCAACGGAACACACTTTCCATCCCAGCATAGCGACCCTTGGGGATGATGCAGGATTGATGGAATTCTATTACTCTTTGATAGATTTATTATGAAGGGCTGAGTGGAGTTGCTGCCCCACTTTGTCACTCACACTAATCAGTATCGTAAGGCCCCGAGCGTGCAGGCTTTTGTATCCCTTTGACAAAGACAAGGTTAGGGGAGGCTGACAGACACCCAGACCTTTACAAACCCATACCGCAAGATGAAATGGGCCAGCTGAGCTCTGTGCTGGGACAGAATTTTAATTTGTTTATCAATGGCTCACATGGGCAACACCATAAGGATATTTGTCAGAGGAGTAACACTGAGGCTAAACTCTTTTGTTTGACAAGTGGAGCTTGGGAAAATATTTATTGAACTGTAAAAATCAGGGGGAAATGAAAGAAAGGGTGTTTCTTTTTTTTTTAAAAAAAGAGGAAGAAGTCTGAGTGGAAAATAACTCACATTACTGTGCATGAAATTTAAAGATGTTGGTGTTTCTTTTCTCTCCCCTCCCCCACCTCCGTTAAAAGCTTTTATTTGCTACAGAAGGCAACTTTTACCCTATGCTTGTCACTTCCGTGCATTGCTAATTTAGATATTGTTTGGGACTTTAAAAACATGAATGGGAAACTGGGAGGGAGGAATTTTGGGATGCTTCTGAAGCCAAATTTTCAGTTCTAGTTTTCAGCCTGTTCTCAGTAAATTGAAAGAAAGAAAGAAGGAAGGAAGGAAAGAAAGAAAGAAAGAAAGAAAGAAAGAAAGAAAGAAAGAAAGGAGGTCTTGTAGTTCCAGCAAGGAAATATGGCATTTGCCAACACAGCTTAAGATGCCTTCTCTGTGTGTGCATAACATGGTTCCCTCTCTCTCTCTTTCTCTCTCTGCTCCTCTGTTTTGAAATTCAAATGCAAGCCATGGTCTTTGTCACTTTGGCCTCCATCTATCCTCAGCCCATATGAATCAGCAGAAGAGACAATTTGTTGTGCTTCTGATCAGAACAGGATCTGCAGCCATGATTGGCATAAACAAGGCCCCTGCATAAGCTGCAGCTGCCAGGGTTTGTTTTTCGTTCGTGTTGTTGAGTGATATATATTTGAATCCTCCTTTTCATGTTGGGTTACTTCCCAGCCTCTTTGCAGATGAAGAAGAGGCTGACAGATTTGACTCGGGCCGCTGGAGGCTCAGTGTCTTCTGCTGGCTGCCCTTAGACTGATCCATTCTCCTATGTGAATGGATTAATCCAGTCCTTCTGCAAACGGAACAGTCCACAGTGAACCTGGCAGGTGTCAGCAAAATATTTTGCAGCAGGTTCAGTGGGGCAAGTTCTTGTGCAGTGCTGTGGTGAAAAGAGGACAATGCATCAGCTCCCTGGTTCAAACATCATCTGCATTACAAACTCACTAAGTAGGCAAGTGACCAAGCCTTGGTGCATGGGTAGGCAACCTAAAGCCCGTGGGCCAGATGCGGCCCAAGCGCCTTCTCAATCCGGCCCACAGATGGTCTGGGAATCAGCGTGTTTTTACATGAGTAGAATGTGCCCTTTTATTTAAAATGCATCTCTGGGTTATTTGTGGGGCCTGTCTGGTGTTTTTACATGAGTAGAATATGTGCTTTTATTTAAAGGTAAAAAAGGTAAAGGACCCCTGGACAGTCAAGTCCAGTCAAAGGCGACTATGGGGTTGCAGCGCTCATCTCGCTTTCAGGCTGAGGGAGCCGGCGTTTATCCACAGACAGCTTTCCAGGTCATGTGGTCAGCATGACCAAACTGCTTCTGGCGCAACAGAACACCGTGATGAGTGACAGAGCACATGGAAACGCCATTTACCTTCCTGCCACCTGTTTATCTACTTGCACTGGCATGCTTTTGAACTGCTAGGTTGGCAGGAGCTAGGACAGAGCAACAGGAGCGCATCCCGTCGCAGGGATTCGAACCGCCAAACTTCTGATCAGCAAACTCAAGAGGCTCGGTGGTTTAGACCACACACATCCTAATAGGGTACAGCAGAGTCTTCAGCACTAGGAAAATTATACCATTTGGCATAGCAGTACTGTTCTCCATTTTGCTATGTGAAACCTTAATGTGATTCTTAGTGCTATCTTTTCACACATGCTCATGGTACTCTTTTACATTTGCAAGTAAAAACTGCTTTAAAAGTTAAACTTTAGGATAACATCAGGAACACAGGTGAAGGTCAAGCCTTTATCGTGTGAGTAGTGCTTTCAGTTTATATGTACTATTTATTTAATTATGTTTTGACATGCCATGTTTTATTTTGTTTTATTATTTATTATTATGATATTATGCCTCAGCTGCAGAGTTACAGTGGTACCTTGGGTTACATACGCTTCAGGTTACAGACTCCGCTAACCCAGAAATAGTGCTTCAGGTTAAGAACTTTGCTTCAGGATAAGAACAGAAATCATTCTCCGGCGGCGCGGTGGCAGCAGGAGGCCCCATTAGCTAAAGTGGTGCTTCAGGTTAAGAACAGTTTCAGGTTAAGTACGGACCTCTGGAATGAATTAAGTACTTAACCCGAGGTACCACTGTACTGTGGTCCTGAATCCACACCACAGTCCCTCTCCAGGGTACTGATCCTGCCTTGCCTTCCTTTCTGCCAGGAACTACTGGTCTCCTCTTTGCTTGAGCCATCACCTGTCTGTGGTCCTGGTTATCTCCATGGCCTGGGCTGAGATGTATTATGGATGTTATTGCTGTACATAACTTCAGCTGCCTTTGAGAAGAGCAGTGGCCGATAATTAACTAACTTATACAACTTATACTTTACATTATCTCAAAGGCTCATGTTGCATATGACCACAATAGGACTATTCCAATGTTCATCTGAACACTCACACAAAGTGGGGAGCTGCATTACCACCACAGGCTCTGCCCTCACTTCAGTGCCGGATTTATGTATAGGCTAAGTAGGCTGAAGCCTAGGGCCTCTAAATCTAGGGGGCCTTGCCAGGCCGCCCACTCCCCAGTGGGCAGTCTCCCTTCTCCCAAAATTGCAAACCCAAGATTTCATGTCAGGGCAGAGCAACTCAGGCCTCTAAATCTAGGGGGCCTCACCAGCCTGCCCTCTCCCCAGTGCCGCAGTCTCCCCTCTCCCAAAATTGCAAACCCAAGACTTCAGGTGAGGGCAGGGCAACTCAGGCCCAGAAACTATGAGACTCAGGCCTGGCCCGTGGGGTCCAATTTGAAGCAGTGGGGCTCAACTTTGTGTTGTTGTTTTTTGTAGGACCCCAGTTCACAGCCAAAGTCTGCAAAATCTTATAGATATAAATAAAATCCATCTAGATTGCCCTAGTGTGGGGCCCCCCTTAGGAGCAGCACATGGGGCCTAAATTGGCCAAATTGCTCCAGTTGCCTTAAGGTCAGCCCTGATGAGGCTGTGCAGGGGTTGTACTGACAAGCTCTGCACCTTCTAGGTCCCTGGTGTCACAATTCAGAGTACAGACTCAAGGACTTGTTATGGAAATAAAGGGGGACACTTATTGGAAATAAGTTTTGTCACCTCCCCCCCAAACCCCGAGACAATGAGCCCAGCCACCTCTTATTCACAGTCGCATAAGCGCTACACTACAGCATGGCCATAAACCTGTACGTTCAGATCCTACACATGTACTAACCATATGCAACCTACTGTTCTGCTTTGGAACAGGACTGCCTTCTTCCTCTGCTTCCCTGTGAGCCTATGCCAGCTAAAGCAAATAATGGCAGCCCAGCAAGATAACTTGAGCAGAGCTTTCATAATTCCAGCAAACGTTCTAGGCAGTGCTGGATCCACCAACCCACATCCCTGGGTGGTGAATAAATCTTTATACTGACTCATTCTAAGTAGCTAAAGATGAAGTTGATCAAAGGCTTATATCTCAATGGTCGACTGCCTGCTTTTGAAGGCAGAAGAATCTCTGATCTCTTCAGGCAGGGCTGTGAAAGACCCCTGTCTGAAGCCCCGGAGAGCAACTGCCCATCAGCATCAATAATACTGAGCTAGGTTGTCTGACGTGGTACAAAGCAGCTTCCTGTATTCCTAAAATTTAATCAAATTGCTTTATAACTGAAGCAATCTGCAAAGTAAATTTCCAGACATCTTTCCTACAAAGGTGAGGATTTAGATCTATCATGTCTTTTCACTACAATGAAACCTTTGAAAACCCAGACAATCACCACACTGAAACTCTGGAGATTGACAGAATAAGACTTTCTCAATGGAGATCTTCTTTTCAGCATGAGCCTTGCAGCTGTTCTCCTTGTGGTTCCTATAATGACTGCAGTGCAGATGAAGGCAGAATCCATCACCTGTGAACTCAATGTGGATCCTATCTGATGCCAGATAAAGTCTGAGCGATTGAGAGATGCCCAGGCCAAACCCAGACAGATGTGCACACTTGTAGGTAGGCTTTTTCCATGTGATTTGGTGTCCCTGGACACTCAGTGGGAGAGGACAGCGTGATGGAGTGATGCTGCTCATCTAGCCTCTAGGTGGTTGCATCACTGATGGTTACTAGGAGGCAGAGGGTGAGATGGGCATGATGCAAACAAGCTGGCAGGAGCACTGGGTTGCTCCACTGGTGCATTTGCACCATACCAACCTAATCATCTCTTCCATTCCATGCAGCAACATGACCAGCTAAAGTTGAGTGGGGACTGGTGCTGTCCCACCATGCTGTCTGCTACTGGCATATAGTTCATACATGCAAAAGCTCATTCAGACACTGTGCTCCAGAGGCAAAGGACAGGCTGGCATCCCTGAGCACCAGCAATTCTGCTCCTGTCTCTGCACACAGAATTACAGAAGCATTGAATTGTAGATTTGGAAGTCCAGCCAAGCCCTCTGCAATGCAGAAATCTTTTGCCCAAAATGGGGATCGGACCCACGACCCTGAGATCATGACTCCTCATGATCTCTACCGACTGAGCTATCCCACATATGTTTATACAAATATCAGAGGGGTGCCATTAGTATAATCTGAACGAGACAAAGCACGGCAAATGAAGGCATCAATCTAGCCTCCATTTTGCTTAACAAAGGCCACCAAATGCCTCCTGAAGCAAAATTTTTAAAAAAGTTCTGCATAACTTGCTATATCTGCTCTGGCTCGGGTTCTGGTAAATAGAAGCAAGCTCCATAAATGCGACGTGTACAGCAAGGCTACCTCTGTGCGTGTGTGCCTTTGATAGAGGTGATGCTGTGTGTTGACAATGCATTCTAGTTTCACAAGATTTGCGGCACACTGGCAGCGACCAATGCCTATCTGTTTCTGCTCTGTTGCCCTTGCCTCTTTTTCGAATGTACACAGGGTACATAATGGAGGTAGGGCCTGTGTTACCATTAGCAGCATAGAGAGCCACTTCTTGCAGAGCAGATGTCATTTGTAATGTTGCAGAGACTGCCCATGTAAACCCTGCCTCAGCTGGCCAAAGAGCTAACCAGCTTGGAGGAAGGATGCCTTACAAACAGATGGGCATGAATAAAGGCAGGCCAAAGGACCACACGAGAACATGAGGTGATGCTGTGGCCAGGAACATCAATGTGTCTTTCCAGGCTTTCCCTACCATGGCAAAGGCCCATGCAGAAAATAGGCAAGCATCGGTTGGCGATGGATGTGGAATCAAGTGGAGATGCTGGCGGCAGTCCTAAACTTACTTTATTTGGAAGCAAATCCCATTGAAATCAATAGGACATACTTCCAAGTAAACATGATTAGAATTGGGCTGCCTATCTAAAAGTGGAGACGTGTTTATTTCTGTGCTTCCACCGTTGTTTGGCCATTCAGGTGAAAAACTGGTGGGAAGAGCCAGAACAACAGTGTTTGAGCCTGGCTGATTTTAGAATGTTTTGGCCAGTTCTGAAACCTGTCCTATGCAGTTACTCAGGACACAATGACGCAAATGGATACATCTCTAACTGAGCCAGTTTATAGGCAGAGGCTGTGGTCTCTAAGCCATTTACTGCTACTTGGAGGGAAATGTATTATGCAGCTGTTGACAAGAGGGAAAACTGATTTAACTTTTAAAAAACCCCCACACAAAACAAATACAGTCTTGTTCCTTCCTATGCTTGCTAGTTTTTGTGCAGGACAATAAACAGCATTTCTAAAAGTTGCTTTTCAAATGCACTTATTATGAAACAAAAAAGCCGCTTTAGTGCAAGAGTAAGAAGGTAAGAGGGATGCGGGTGGCGCTGTGGGTTAAACCACAGAGCCTAGGGCTTGCCGATCAGAAGGTCAGCGGTTCGAATCCCCGCGATGGGGTGAGCTCCCGTTGCTTGGTCCCTGCTCCTGTCAACCTAGCAGTTCGAAAGCACGTCAAAGTGCAAGTAGATAAATAGGTACCACTCCAGTGGGAAGGTAAACGGCGTTTCCGTGCGCTGCTCTGGTTCACCAGAAGCGGCTTAGTCATGCTGGCCACATGACCCGGAAGCTGTACGTCTGCTCCCTCGGCCAATAAAGCGAGATGAGCGCCGCAATCCCAGAGTCGGCCACGACTGGACCTAATGGTCAGGGGTCCCTTTACCTTTTTAAGAAGGTAAGAACATAAGAAAAGTCTGCTGGATCATACCATTGGCCCATCTAGTCCACCTTCCTGTGGGAAAATCACAAGCAGGACCTGAGCACAAGAGCGTTATCCCCTCCTGTGGTTTCCAGCAGTTGGTATTCACTGCCATCTTTCTTTATAGAGGAGTTACTTCATCCCCTCGATCATTCTGGTTGCCCTTTTCTGAACCTACTCCATCTCTACAATATCATTTCTGAGGTGAGGTGGCCAGAGCTGTACACAGTAATACAAATGTGGTCACCCCATAGATAATCATATTATAATATCAGCTGTTTTATTTTCAGTTCCTTACCTGATAATCCCTAACACAGAATTTGCCATCCCCCCCCACAGCTGCTGCACAATGGGCCAACATCTTCATTGAGCTGTCTACTACAACCACACGGTCTTGTTCCTAGTCTGTCACCGCCATTTCAGGCCCCATAAGCATAAATGTGAAATTAAGATATTTTTGCCCCAATGTGCACTGCGTTACACTTGTTTACATTGAATTGCACTTGCCATTTTACTGCCCATTCACTCAAATTGGAGAGGTCCAAATTTGGAATTCCTGCCTGCACCCTCTAGTCCCAGTATCTCTAAGTGGGTTTTGTGAACCCTGCCAATGAAGTACCGCTGGATCTATTTCTTTGTGTATCCTGGGGATTTACTTCCCCTAAGACAGCAGAGTGTACACTAGCTGACTTATCTCTGAACCATGGCAACAGTTTGAAAAGGTAAAGCAGAGAGTACACCGAAGAGCCATTTGTCAAGAGCAATTGCAAGCAGTCCAAAAGTGCAGGCAGAGTATATGAATCATGATGTAAAAATGGTGAAAGGCAGGCACTTAGACCAGTTGTGGTAATACTGGGACAGAGCCTAGCTGTGGCATGATTTACTAAAATTGTGTGCAGAGGGACATGTGCAATGGAAAAAGAATTAAAGTTTGCCTTTGTATCTCATGAGGCATAGGGAATTTAATTTGACAACACACACAATTCACAACTTTTGGTCGGAAGGAAATGGTGGCACAGCAATTGTAAGGCCCCTCCCCACCCCATTCCTCCCAGCCCTGCAAATGAAACCTGTAACATGGACAAATTAGCAAAGTTATACCTACACTATTGGTGGGGGCAAAATGAAAGAGGGAAATGGGATCCCCTCCCCTTTCTGATTACTGTGTGCGCTCTCTCTCTCACCTCAAGTATGCTCAACAGGGATTGTTGTTGTTGTTGTTGTTTAGTCATTTAGTCATGTCCGACTCTTCGTGACCCCATGGACCAGAGCAAGCCAGGCACTCCTGTCTTCCACTGCCCCCCGCAGTTTGGTCAAACTCATGTTGGTAGCTTCGAGAACACTGTCCAACCATCTCGTCCTCTGCCGTCCCCTTCTCCTTGTGCCCTCACTCTTTCCCAACATCAGGGTCTTTTCCAGGGGGGTCTTCTCTTCTCATGAGGTGGCCAAAGTATTGGAGCCTCAGCTTCAGGTCAACAGGGATAGCTCAATACATTTTGCTGCCTGAGGCTCAGGATAAGATACAATGTACAGAAGTCGACTGGACTGGAAGTTGACTCTACATTACTGGTTCTGGGCAAGACTGGTCACTTGTCTGACAATTTTCTCAGGTGCCAGGTATGGGGAGCAGCACACTGGTGCTGCTCTGGGCACCCGGCTCACTTACCTCATTGTCTGCCTGACCCTGCTGCTGAGGCCATTCCACACTCCTGGTGAGCACCTGTGCTACCACTCTTGCCAGCTTTGCTCTGTGACCTTTGAATGAAGAAAGTTCCTCTGCAAGCTTGATTTCAAAGGTGCAATTAGGTAATTTTAGACTCTAGACTTCATGGGCTTATGGGAACCCCTTCTCAAGGTGGGCAATGTGCATTACCTCAGAATGTAGTAAGGCAGCCCTGCTGCCCTGGAGGAGCCCCTCTTGCTCATTCTTCTGAGTAGAACCCTAGATGTCTGACCCAAGTCTTGCCCGGATAACACTGCACCATTGAGATGAATGGGAGCCACACAAGGATACCACTGTACACTTCCCATTTATTTCAATGAGGCTGCAGAAGAGTACATCCTGGTGGATTGTGCCCACTGCCGTTTCAGCTTAATGTACAGTAAACAGCGGTTAGTCAAAGTGATTTGTTTATCCTAGCATTGAAATAGCGCCTCTTTTGTCGCAGTCAGTTTAAATTAAGTGACTCCAGTCCAGATTTAATTTTCAATTAATAAGAGTTATTACAGGATAATTAGATGCCAATTGATTAGTAAAAATGTTGCTGAAATATAACAACTTCAGTTATTATACTTCAACCAACATATTTTTATAATCAATTGGTATTTAGTCTTGTTACATGTAAATCAAAGCTATTTAAGACTGGGTGAACAAATATTCTGTTTCATTCCATAAAACCATAATTGTTTTGCCTAATAGCCATTATGCTAAATAAATGTAATGGAGTGGATTTTCTGGGGCTTGGCTGTCAACAAATTTATTGATAGAGGTTCACGGCACAATTCTGTGGAAGCCTACGTACGCAGTGCTGGCTTGAAATGCAGCTGTGCCATTCTTTTCCTCAACTTGGACAGAAGCTGGTTTTGGGGATAATGCATGAAGAACACTGTATTTCATAAGAAAATACAGAATAGGTATGAATTGTGGCTAATGTTGTATGTACACCACTTCCCAAACCAGCGGTGGGAGTGCACAGCTTACAAGTGCTCAGAAATAAGTACCACAGAATTCAGTGGTGCTTACTTGGACTTCGTCCCATCTTCTTATGGGCTATGTTGGCTAAGTCTGATGGGAGCTGGACTCCACTCAGCTGGAGAGTCTGGAGAGTCGCTAGTTCCCCCATCCCTGCATTTCCTCCTGTAAAGAAAGACATGCCTATTCGATTTCTGCTTGCCAAGCAGCAGGTAAAGGGACCACCTCTTTATTAGGAAACAAGGTGTGATTTGGTGATCCTCAAATGATGCAAAGTGGCTTTAATAAGGCAGGAATATTCAACACAGAAATTAATTTCCATCATCAGGTGAACAGGTTATAGAAGGGATGGGCTTCTGTTCCTTGTCTCTGAGGAAAGAAGTTCCACCAGTGACCACCGATCATACCCCCTACCTACACCAATGGCCACTGGAGTCTTCCAGCACCATTTCTGAGCCCTGTCTGGCCTATGCATTATTAGATATAATGCAATTTTGGCAGTATTGCCAAAATGTTTTCTTAATTACAGATTCAGAGAGCATGCATGAGATATTATCAAGGAGTAAGATGTTGAGTCCTGGAAGAGGAAATCTTTCCCATATTCCCAGGAGGATCACTTTTCCCCCTTGAAATTTCATGGAGGTTTAAATGGCAGTTCTCTGTAGTTTCCAAGGCCTATAAC